GTTCGTTCATCTTGCCCGCATTCAGCATAAATTTCTTCTTCTTGCCTTGCGAACTGTATTCGCCGTAGGTTTCTGATTACCCAGTTTCTTGCAACTAAAGCTTGAAANTTACAATCTTGAATAAATTACCTAATACAAGGGTTTTCGTTACAGCTGAAAATGGATCGGTTGAGGTACTGGAGTTGGTGGCTTTATTTCTCCTCAAGACAGGAACCATTGGTTTTAACTGGTAAGAGATTTCCGTGGATGCTTTATCTTACTTTGTTGAGTTTTTTTTTTCGAAAAGAGAAGGGCAAAACACAGTAACTTTAATAAATAGATGTTCGTTCATCTTGCCCGCATTCAGCATAAATTTCTTCTTCTTGCCTTGCGAACTGTATTCGCCGTAGGTTTCTGATTACCCAGTTTCTTGCAACTAAAGCTTGAAACTGAAGCTAAACAAACCTTTATTACGGTGTTCCTAAGACTCACTAAAGTCTTTTAAAGACAAATGTTACGCTTCTTTATGCAAGCGAGGTTCTTAATGTCATTACATTTGTTTTCTTCAATTGCTTGTTTGTTTGCTTTCTTTTTGTTAAGTATCCGTTAGGTATATATTTGCACATTTTTTGTTTTACTTTTTTTCAAACTACGAAACAAAAGGGGAATTTTAAAAAAAGCTGCCAGAAGATAATTAGCAAATAGCAAAATATTAGATAAAAGAAGAGGAAAAGAAAAATAAGCAGATTCTACAAATTTTGCTTCTTCATTATCATCTTTGTCTTGATACGAAGCTCCGTGTGGAACCTATCCCCTGGTATAGAGCACGAAGAGTCCTTTTCCGTTTAAAAATCACTTTATAGTCACGGCAACGTACGTCCGATCGAACGACCCTACTCACGTACAAACTCTAATAGGGGAGCTGCCACTGAACGTTTTTTTGATACAAAGGTTCTGGGAAGGACCTTACCTAAATTATTACTCACTGTTTTTTTTACATATAATTTCAGTTATCGTGACCAACACTGATATAGTCATGTCGGAATCAGCTGAAATTGCTGTGACAGTTGTAACGTCAGTGCTTATCATCACAAGTATCGTAGGAAACTCTCTTGTTTGTGCCGTTATTAAGAAGAATCGAGACATGAGGTAGAGAACTATTCAGCAATGACACCACATACTCCCTTCAACCACTTGATGCCAAACAATTTTTTTACTATGAATGTATCTTGCAGAATTTACCATCAATGCCATCAATGAGCCCAATTGCCAATTTTTCGCGCGACGATAAGGCACCTTGTTTACCCCAAAAAATTTTACCTGACCATTTTTTCCAATTAATGATAAATTTAAATGACCGTTTTCACCGATGCACACAATTTTTTTTGTGGAGAGGGGTAAACAAGGTGCATTATGGCCTCAGTAGAAATGGTGAATTGATTATTGAGAAAAGCAACGTATTGTGAAACTCACAAAACCCTGAACACCAGAAATATTTATGGAATGCTATTGTGTTGCGAGAAATAAGCCAATAAGGCACGAGATAACTAAACCGCAAACAGCAACAGTCATTTATTTGTGGTTTTGAGGTTTGCTTGCGTATCCTTAACTTTATTGTGATTGGCCAGTACAGGTCAGTACACAATCAACATCCCTGAAATTTTTCAGGTGTTTACGGTTTTCTGAGTGTGACAGTAACGTAATTACATCACTGTATTCAAGTTTTGATAAATCTGTAATTTCTTTTCGCCGTTTGTCGGTAAGGAATAATTCCTGAAGTATGACATGGTATGCCATACTTACGTACATACATATACCATATTTATCCTCGAATTCAGAGTAGTTAAATATAAGCTATAATTTTCGAGTTACAAGTATAGTTCCAAATATCACTAAAAGTTTGAAATTATAATGTCGCCTGTCACAATACGTTGCGTTTTTTCATCATTTGTTTTCACAGAAATCCCATAGATTATCTACTGGTGAACCTTGCAGTGGCGGATATCATCTATACAACATTTAGTTTACCAGGCATTGTGTTAACACACACTAACAGTCACCCAGGGGGAGTGACGGGCAAGGTGTTGTGCATAGTACTGACAAAGGGAATCTTTGCGTGGGTTGGGGCTTTTTCTTCAGTATTAACTCTAAATGCCATTGCCATAGAACGCTACCTAAGCGTTATACAACCCCTCGGCAGCAAAGCAAATCTTACCATGCGCAGACTAAAGGTAAGTTGAACTTCCAAAACCTTGCAGCACCTAGCTAGTGTAATATCATTGATAGGCGAATCAGTTTTTTTACATTTTTGCTCCATAAACATATCCTTATGATTAATCTGAGCTCGATATACCAAATACGTTTTGAAGACACTTTCAAAAAATGTATGAGCTCTTTGCTCCCAGCAATTTCGCAGCTTTTGATTCCTGATATTCCTCTGTTATTGATTACAAAGAACTGAAAATTGCTCAAATTGCTCCAATAAAGTAGCTCTTTTAACCTTTGAACTAAAGTTGTGAATACGACTTTATTCGGGAATAAAGGTTTCATCAATTAATCTTTAGCAAGGGGCTGTAAAAATTTAAGAAGCTGAGGAAGAATTTGAAGAATCTCATGATCAAAGCATCGTTTAACGAGACATCTTTTTAGATTAGCTTTAGATTAAAACATAAAATTAAAACATATCTTTTTACATTAAAACTTATTTAGATTGGCTTTTAAGTAGTTTTAACTTGATTTTATTCTCATTCTATTTGCGTTCGAGGTACGAGAACGCAACCCCTAATTTGTGTTGGGTGTTCTGTGCATCATTGGGCGTCCTGTGCAAATAATAGGAGAGATTTTTTTGAGATTGCATTCGTCTTCGTCGTCGACACACATTTGCCTCGCTTTGAGGCGCTTGGTTACGTTTTGCCTCACTTTAAGGCGCCAACTCACGTGGTGATTCGTGTGTCCTTGGCGTTCATCTTTCAAACGTTTGCTGAGGTCTGCTATTCTGTCTTCGTAAATCGTTCATCTTTTAAAAGGGTGGTAAATCTTCGTAAAGTATACATATTTAAGAGTTTGCTGAAGGCCTACTGTCGATCTGTGTTTAATGAATCTTCCAAAGCGTTCATCTTTCAAAAGTGTACTGAAAGTTTACACCTTGAGTAAAATTTTACTTTGGATTAGGCCTTCTTATTTTTCTTTGGAAAATGCGTGCTACTTCTGGTGCATGCATCAAACCGGGTTGTTTAGCTCGGCGTCCGTTGTGCCACAAAGTAAATTTACCGGCGAGTCGTGAAGCTCAGCGTCTGTTGTGCCACAAAGTAAATCTACTGAGTTGTGTAGCTAGGCGGCCGTANAAAACTAAAACATATCTTTTTACATTAAAACTTATTTAGATAGGCTTTTAAGTAGTTTTAACTTGATTTTATTCTCATTCTATCTGCGTTCGAGGTACGAGAACGCAACCCCTAATTTGTGTTGGGTGTTCTGTGCATTATTGGGCGTCCTGTGCAAATAATAGGAGAGGTTTTTTTGAGATTGCATTCGTCGTCGTCGTCGACACACATTTGCCTCGCTTTGAGGCGCTTGGTTACGTTTTGCCTCACTTTGACGCGCCAACTCACGTGGTGATTCGTGTGTCCTCGGCGTTCATCTTTCAAACGTTTGCTGAGGTCTGCTATTCTGTCTTCGTAAATCGTTCATCTTTTAAAAGGGTGCTAAATCTTCGTAAAGTATACATATTTAAGAGTTTGCTGAAGGCCTAATGTCGATCTGTGTTTAATGAATCTTCCAAAGCGTTCATCTTTCAAACGTGTACTGAAAGTTTACACCTTGAGTAAAATTTTACTTTGGATTAAGCCTTCATATTTTTCTTTGGAAAATGCGTGCTAGTTCTGGCGCATGCATCAAACCGGGTTGTTTAGCTCGGCGTCCGTTGTGCCACAAAGTAAATTTACCGGCGAGTCGTGAAGCTCAGCGTCTGTTGTGCCACAAAGTAAATCTACTGAGTTGTGTAGCTAGGCGGCCGTAGTGCCACAGAGTAAATCTACCGAGTTGTGTAGCTCGGCGGCCGTTATTCCACAAAGCAAATCTACCGAGATGTGAAGCTCGGCAGCGGCCGTTATTCCACAAAGTAAATCTACCGAGATGTGAAGCTCGGCAGCGGCCGTTATTCCACAAAGTAAATGTACCGAGGTGTGAAGCTCGGCGGCACCATTTCATCACAACTTGTGATATTTTCGGCACTGGAGAAACGAACATTTTAGCTCTATGTTATTTATTCGCAAAAACGTGACCAGCCCACAGTAGCGCCACTCAAGCCACTGAAATCAATACACTCGACCAAATTACTGGAAAAGTTATTGAAGTGAGCCGCACACACATGCCACTGAAGGTTTTGATGATTCCCTTGAAACGTGTAAAATTGAGAGGTGTTGTGTAAGTGAACTAGTGTTCAAACGCATCATTGTGCCCTTGCATTCACCGCAAAAATGTGGTCTTGGGTCGTTCTTTAATATCATCACAACTGATCACAAGTTAAGAGGCCGAAGCACCCTGGCCAGTGTCTCCTCAAATAACAAGCACTTGAGACGAACCGTACGATATCACTCTGATCCCTCACTAGCCTTCAAAACCTTTTCATAACCGTACACAGTTTAAATCGAGTTAAATCGAGTTAGTTCAGTTAAATCGAGGTTTCTCTGTACGCAACCCTTACGTTCAAAATATGCCATAATCATAGTTATCTATTGTAAGGACCATCCACCCTTTCCCCTCAACTGCTACCTGTACGCCTAGCAAACATATCGAACGCATTCTCCTAATCTCCGATTACTCCTAGTTTATTTATGTATTTTTATCAGCATTTTTACTCTCAATCGGTGTCATCTTTCATAGTCGATATCACAGATATATTTTATAAATTTTAATTAGATCTAATTAGCATGACCGTAAAGCGCTTTCGATCATTTATACATGTATGTTAAAAGGTGCTATAGTAAATTTATAATTTATTATTATCATTATAACTACTATCATTATTATAATGAGTAGAAATTACAGATGTGTGAAATTTTTCTCCGACGAATGCTCCACGCTCTTAGACATGATGAATGACATTTGCATTGACAAAAAGCAGCAACTTTATATAATCAATTAAGAAAATGATAAACATAGTCATTAGAGCAACATACTACATCTTTTGTTGTAGAAATGGGAATAGGGACAGCCCGGACTTAATGCAATTGATTTTCTTTTCTTTTCTTTTTATTTAACAATTCGATCTCAAGCAGCATTTGTAAATTGCCTATACGTAGCGAGATTTACAATAATTATTGTACATAAAGTTTCCATCATTATTATTATTTATGGATTTGCTGATGCAACAAGATGTACTGAAGTAAATCACTGTTCGGTATCTATGAATAAGTAGTACAATAGTGCAGCACTTCTCAGTGACGTCGATTTGACATTTCTTACCCGAAAAAATTTCATTTCACAAACTTGAGAATTTGTTACATGAATTAGTGATTTTTCCACTGTGAGAGAAAAACATTTTTATTCTACCAATTGTCCTAGCACAAGCAGACTCAAAAATGAAATAAAATGCCATGCTCAAAACTGCCCAAAGAAGTTCAATTTAGCTTAGTGTTGTTTCCATTTTGCATTACTAGATTATTATTCCCAGTTTTTGGTTCTTTTCATTGATTTTGGAAATCCCGCCAGCAACAAACATGGCATTAGACAAGAGTTTCGATCCAAAGTTCTGCCCCAAGACGCGGCTTCACTACAAGACATGGATACAACATGGTTACGTATTCTTGTGGTTTACGATGGTTGTCATTTCCATTGCGGTGATGATTGGGTTATATTCCAGAGTCGTGTTCACTTTGTGGGCCAGGTGCAACAACGATGAACTCACACATCGACAGAGGGTATTTCATTTAACAAGTTAAAAAGTTATACCGTGGACGTTCGCCTAGTACTGTACAAATTTTCGACCGGTTGAAAATTCGTGCGTTTAGGGGTTTAGTTCACAGGGAGCCTCCGTAAAGACATTTAGACTCCCAACCGTTCAATAAGTTGATCGTCAAAATCGAGTTCAAATTTTGAGCCGGTACGATCGAAAAATTGATCAGCGTGGTGTGAACACATTGACCCCCTAAAGGCGTGGTTGCATGAATGCTTGGTAACTTAGTTGGAAGACGCCATTTTGGATTGGTTTAAGTTGTGCTCTGCGCAAGGAGAGATGGTTACAATGGTTAAAACGCTGAAAAAGGTAAAATTCAACCTGGTTCGTGAGGGGAAATATTGAACGGTTCTATGTGAACGAAATGCCCGATCAAATTTTTTCAGCCGGTCGAACTTTCGTCCGGTACCGTGTGAACGTAACTTTAAAGCTTTTTAAAATTCTGACGAGATTTTTTTCTCAATTTTACTCAATTTTCGGTCTTCCTTCTGATTTTATTTCTTTCTTAACAACTTCATTTTACTTCGTTAATGATAACACTAACGGTGGCTCACTTGCATTTTTCAAGGAAAATAACTCCCAAGTTTGAGCACGTCGCTGTTATCAAAGATATAGGAAACGACCATCACACCTTAATCAGACAAAACAAAAAAAATTTTTACAATGGAACCTCGATTTAACGGACGGCCAAGGGACTGACAAAATTTGTTAGTTATGACGAGGATCTGCATGAAACACTGGGAAAGCTTTATGACCTCTAATAAATGATAGACTCAGAGAGGCAAAAGTAAGATTTAGTCAGATTTTAGAATACTCCCAGCACTGCATAACCTTAGCGAAGGTGGCGTGGGAGGCTACTTCAATGCATGCATGCTCAAGTCCCTCCCAGTGTCGTTAAATAAGCCTGCAAGCAAAATAAGGGTAACGTCATTACATTACTGTGGCAACTGCGAAGTCAACGTAACACTATTAAGAGCAAACTTTTATCTTTACCTAATATAGCTGTGGTGATTACTTTTCCAAATCTTTTTAATGGCGACGTAGTTAATACTTAAACTTGGACGTATTGCCCGTGAAAGTCTAGTCGAGCCAACATAACTTAAGTAGTTTTTTTGCTGAACTGTTAAAGCAATCCCAATAAGGGAATGGCCCTTTGACCGACGACAAAATGTTTTTTGCTCCAGCAAACTTTAAAATAACCTGCAATGGTTTTGTACTTTTTCAAACAGGGAGTGTTAAAGGTGCGAAAGCGAGTGACCTTAATGATTGTAACTGTCAGTGCCATATTTGGTATCACTTGGCTCCCAGATGTAATTCTACACGTCCTCGAACAAACAACTAGCCTCAAGTTCAGTCCCGCCATATTTGCTGTCGTTCACACCATCATCATGTTTAACTCCGCTATCAATCCATTTGCATACGCGTTAATCAACCAGCGATTTAGAGAAAAGATGAAACGATTGCTGTGCTATAGTTCAATTTTATCGGAACTCAGAAGCTCCACAAATTTGCAATCACACAGCATCGAGTTAATGAACAGTAACATCACTCAGCCACGGCCATAGAAAACAAAAAAGGTACAAACTGGATAGCTTCTAAAGAAACTGCAGTCAATAACAATGTAAATTAATGATGGTAACATACTGTGTAGGAAAATTGTATAGCTCTTATTAGTATTAATATCAGGTTTAAGACTCGAATTATGTAATTCTTAAAATTCTTGGACACAGTTATTAAAAATAAAATAAATTATAGTTAAAATAAAGAATTCCCCAGAATCCCTTGAGACAAAGCTTCATAATTTCGACAAATGCATTGTAAACCTAGAATAATGTTAGACTACCACAAGACAACAATTCCCATAAAATATCTACAAGTCTTGTGATTTTAACACAACTAGTTTGTGACAGGCCTAAAATAAGTACAGTCTTATTTGATCTTAATTAGATTATTTCTGCCACCACGGTAGAAAAACAGGCAGGCAAACAAAATGATGTCCGTTTTTGAGTGTCCAGCCATGACGTGACCTCCTGAANTAAAGAAACTGCAGTCAATAACAATGTAAATTAATGATGGTAACATACTGTGTAGGAAAATTGTATAGCTCTTATTAGTATTAATATCAGGTTTAAGACTCGAATTATGTAATTCTTAAAATTCTTGGACACAGTTATTAAAAATAAAATAAATTATAGTTAAAATAAAGAATTCCCCAGAATCCCTTGAGACAAAGCTTCATAATTTCGACAAATGCATTGTAAACCTAGAATAATGTTAGACTACCACAAGACAACAATTCCCATAAAATATCTACAAGTCTTGTGATTTTAACACAACTAGTTTGTGACAGGCCTAAAATAAGTACAGTCTTATTTGATCTTAATTAGATTATTTCTGCCACCACGGTAGAAAAACAGGCAGGCAAACAAAATGATGTCCGTTTTTGAGTGTCCAGCCATGACGTGACCTCCTGAATATAAAAATGCCTAGGTAAGGTTGGGTGGGTTCTCCATATCTAACAAGCATATAGTCAAAAAAACACTTAAAAATTTACTTCATTTTCGAACGTTTTGTCTTAAGTCAAACTTCAGTCTAGATATTCACTGCATTAAAACTATTGTTTGCCTCTAAACTGGCTAATTCTACACCAAGACAGTCGCAACGACAAAGTTGTTGTTTTGCTTATTAAACCTGTTTTCTTTTTACGTTCTCGTTGCCGTCGCGTCCTTGGATCTTAAAGTCCCTAATGTTTCCTGCGAAACAAGATGAAGTGATGGCATTTGACGTTTTGACGTAGGCATGACGTGAATGCGCATGCTCGATAAAAAGCAAACGGTTGCACGCATTGGTTTCTCTACCTTTGTAGCGTAGCGTCCAGCCTAAAGAAACCACTGCTCGCAGGGTACTCTGAGACGGACATCTTCATGAGCGGCCCAGACTGTTCGTCTTAGAAAGCTTAGAGAGGTGTCCGGCTTATAGAGAGCCGAGGTAACTTGACACCAGTAACTATAAGAAAATAAAGCTGAACCCACTTGCAATGACTGCACGTCTGTTTACTTGTGCAAAACAGTTAAAACTGGAACACTATAACAAAAAAGAGGAAACATTTTCATATTGCGCAATCAAACGTTCATTACAAAAAAGGTTAACGGTTGGTGGTCTAAAAGCGTAACGGCATACACTCTGCGAACTGGAATAAAACAACACAAAATAATAATAAACATGACGACATGACTTTACTGTTTTTCTTAGTGAAAGCGGACAGTGAAAGGCAGGTTTTCGTTTGCGGCCAGTGATAGGTCATACGATAATTTTCACTTGTGACCAAATTTGCCAGTAGTTTTTTACCAGATAATGGTGTCAAATTATGTTATAGTAAATCTCAGTACATATATAACAAATGTGTATGGACAATACGTAAGCTTTTATATAGTAGAATAATTTTAGAGTTAATTTGCCTCGATATTGCTTGACATTGCTATTCCTTGGTTATAAAAATCAAATTTTCGTCTTTATCGTCATCAATATTAAAGTCTAGGCTATTTAGACCAAAAACTTTCTATACATCGTTCTTCATATGACATCTTGCGTAGTTTTTGACCGAAAGCGATTCTCGATGCTCTTCGTTGTACTTTTTCGATTGTCAACTTATCTTTAACTTATCTTTATCTTAAGAATGGCAATTATTCGAAAAATATCTTTGTAAAAAGAAGAAGGTAATTATACTTTTTACATTTAAAAGTTTGAAAACTTAAAACTTTTCGCAACCCTCAAAAACCTGCTTTGTAGGGATACAGGTCTGATTCGTGAGTGGAAAAAAGCAGAACAGCGCTTTTCAACTCATTTGCGGCAATAATGTTGCAAAAAAATTACATGTTTTAGTTTGCTTTCAGTCCCAGCTGATTGCGACCGCGTTGCGTCGCCTTCCTCACGTTTTTACGTTCTTTTAATTTGATACTATAGGTTTTACGAGTTAAACTGTCCCAATGGTAAGATGGGCTTTAGGGAAAACTAGAAATACGTATCTCCCATTAACCCTTACGAAACTGTTTTTGTTGTTGTTGTTTTTTATAGCACTCTCAAGTTAAGCCGTTTGTGCGAGGTTAGGATCTGGATGGGTGACCCGACGGGAATATTCTATTAGTGAAGACCCCTATTTTATTCTTTTTTTTTCTCCTTCATCTTTCTTTATTACAGGGTACCCCTACCAAGAGCCATAATGGGACCATTTAATGGCTCTTTGATGCCCCTACTTTATTTTTTAAATGTGCACTGAAAAGCATATTTTGCATTATTTTGCTGCCGGATTTTGACAGTTGAAAGTTCAACTTGCAAGCAAGTACGGGGTTGAAACTTTGTTCCATCGGCGGAAAAAGGGCCACGCTCAAAGTGGGTTTTCCAAGGCGTAAATTAAGTTCCTTGCAGGGCAAGGCCAAGTTGTCTCTGCTTCGTAGTCTCTGCCTGTCGTTTTCTCCTTCGTTACTCTCGCTAAATCCAGCGTTGTTGTGGGTGCAGTTCCTTACTATTTGCATGAGAAAGTGGTCGCTATTGGCCAACATTAAACATCATTTCACAGACGATGAATAAACTTCTCAGCCCTTCATGATAAAGCATGATAATGCACCATTGTCGTCAGTAGCCTGTCCCAGGCTCTCAGATAGAAGAGATGACGCGTAAGTTCAAAGCACGCGGAAATATAAGCGCGTAATTTGGGAAAAAGGGGGCACTGGCGGGAAAAAAAGGAAGGGAATTCCCTTCCTCTCCCCAGTTTCCTTTCATTTTATTTTCGTATTCGCACTTTCTCAATTTCGCGGACCCGACTATCACAGGGCCTAGAACAGTCTATGTCGTTGGCGGCAAACTGGTTCGTTTTGCCTGGAAACGTAAAATACACCTTGACGCCACGCTGAATGACGTCGATTAGAGTCTTTTACGCTTTGTTGCTAGGTAACTGCGGCTACAAAGACGATACATATAAACTCAACTCACGGTTTTGCCCGCTAAGCGATTACGCGAGCTCCACGCTTGATGGGAATTCCGACAAAATTATTAACTTCCCACTGGCGAGAGGCTTTCAGCCCCTCACTTCACGAGCAATAAAATAAACAGACTCAAATGGGTGAGATTTCTCAGTAGAGTGTTGATATTGCGCTTTTTATTTGAGTGTCAATGTATTTAGCACGAAAGTGCTAATTGGGAACACTAGCTAATCCTGCCGCGGTTTTTTTCTATTGTTACTTAGTGTTGTTTTCTGTTTCTTTTTTTGTTTCCTTCCCTTCATGGCACCTTTCAAAGAGTTCATTTTATAGCTATTTAGGTGTCTGAATGACCATTCAACTTGTTCAAGCATTCAGTGGCTGTACTTCGCAACAAATACGTCTATTTGAGCAAGACTTTTTAACGCTCGATGATTTTTTTATTAATCTGGCTGCGAGAAATCTAGATATCAGGAAGAAACATTGATAAAGAGTAGATAAAATTTATATTAAATGTGAAACGTTTGATATTTCCAGACTACAAAGGTTATGGTTTGAAAAGGAGTTGGCTAAGATAGAGCAATGGATACTTAAGAGTCAACATAAAAGACACTGAGTTCTTAGATTTTGTTTGCTCTGAATACGACTGCGGTTCGCAACGCCTGCATTCAAATGTAGTTTAGAGTTTTCTATCTCCTAGGAAAATTGCCGACCAAGGCTATAGAGAATTACTGACCGGGTGTTTTTATGCTGGCAGTTGGCTCGTAAGGAACTGATCCACTTATCCACGGTTAGCTCAATTTGTTATATGACGGCGCCGAGATGCCGAGCGGGGACCGCGGGGTCAAATCCCAGCCGGAAAAACAGAGAAAGTGCTGCCTTCGTAATGACGTCTAGACAAAAGATCAGACTTTCTACAACTTCAACTTCAACTTTATTTAAATTTGAAAATATAGCAAAAGATACATGGGGACTGGCCTGCAGTTAGCGAGGCTATTCGAGGCAGGCCAGGCAACATAATTTACAACAAACTAGACAAATACAAAGAAATTAGGCGTTATATAAGTATATACATTTTACATTAAATAGATACCTTCTACTTAAATGCAAGGACAATAATTAAAGTGAAATTTTAAAAATAAAATAAAATGAAAATAAAGGACAGGAGAATTACTTTTTCATTTTCACGATGATCGTATCCACGTCAATATAGGAGTCTTCTGTTTCAAGGAAATCGAGTAGCATTTCTTTTAGTGATCTTTTAAAAGCTTTTTTCGGTCTTTCTTTAAGAATTTGAGGTATCCCATTCCAAATTTTGACCCCAACACGCGAAAAAGCATTTTGTTTGACATTGAGTCGAGATTCTTTAGTATAAAAATGTTCAGAGGTTGAGGCACGTGTGTTGTAAGTATGAACACGAGAAATTCGAGAGAAGAGTTTCGAAATATTAACCGGAGCAGTGTTTTTATTTACATCATACATAAGACTACAAACGGATTCATAATATAGAGACTGTAAAGTTAGAATTTTTGCATTGACAAAAAAAGGTATTGCGTGGTCGTTTGTTTCAGCGAAATATATTAAACGCA